GCCCCGCCGACACCCCTTATTCCTCCTACAGTTACACATCCCCCGGCCCCGCCTGCACCTCCTGCTCCACCTACAGCACCCCATCCTCCATCTCCACCAGCTCCTCCCGCTCCTCCTCCGCCACCCCCTCCTCCTCCACCACCACCACCTCCACCTCCTCCTACTACCCCTACCCCTCGCTCTTCACCGTGAGTTAGCATGTGCGGCAACTGCACGTAGTCATCGTCGTCATCATCACTGATTTCCACGACAACCGCGCCATAAAGGGACTGCACGAGAGAATGTGGGTGTGTGGTTAGGAATAGGCAACGAACAGCACACTAACAGAGATATGAAAAAACACGATAGCACGTATCAAATCGATCGTGTTACATGCAAAAGCGCAAATCGACGGCATGCTACTATAGCTAGGTCGTTCTAATCCATACAAGGGCGCAAAAGTACCACAGCTTCAGGTAATATCGTGTAGAAGTACGTGATCGATGCCGGCGGGTCAAGGATGGACGCTGTTTTGTTTTGTTTTGTTTTTCTTTTGAAGGGTACGGGTCCGTTTCCTAGTGGGATTCGGAGGGCCAGTGAGATTGGGTTAGTATTAGCGCCGTGTTTGGAGTTGGGCCAGACATCCTATCGCACCGTTCACATTCCTTCCCCCCACGATGATGATCCCAACGGCATGCCCGTCGTGGGACCCCTAAAAAAAAGTATAGCTACTTCACCCAGTTCTCAAGGAAAAAAACATAGCAACTTCATCTTCAGTCTGTATATGTCTCTATGCAAGCACATCCGTGCAAGTTCTTATACATCATACACTCGAAATCAAATCACCAATAACTGTCAATATATCACGACGCCGATCTTGCAAAATCCTCTTCGGTCCTCTTTTGCCCTTCTGTTACAACCACCAGCAATGAGTAACAACATATCTACAGTAGCTATCGACAGCGTAAGAAATACATGGCTCCTACAATGTTTCAGTGTGCTATACAAACATCCCCTGCCGTAAATCCGAAGACGAAGTAGTATGGTCCAGGCTCATCATAGGTTGGAGAAGGAGCTGGGCACCTTTGGCGCCCCTTCGAAGGCCCACGACGATATGAGGTGGTGAGCGATGGCGTAGGGCTCAGGGACGAACATCGGAGCCGGTTCCTCGCTCTCCACCCTGAGGTCGGAGGAGGTGCTCTGCCCTCTCTCCGTGCCCTTGCATATCTGGTTGACCTTGAGCGCGCTTGATCTCTGGGCTTTCTCATACTCAGCAAACGTTAGCGCTTTCTTGACGTCTTCACGGCTGTGCCACTGGGCATCTGCGCGTACGACAAAAGAAGAAAAGAATGAGCACCAATCTGGCTCTTGAGGTGAGAGCTACGCGCCCAGGAGTATCATGCAGTTGATTTCTAAAACACTTCTCCTGAAACTGAAATATAAGTTTGGGTTTTGCAGCATTGATCTATAATAGAAATTTCATCTCTATATATTCTTGTATGATATATTACACAAGAGGAAAATAACGGAAGAGAAACTGTGACATGGGAAATGATGAGATAAATCAGTTGCAGCAGGAAAGGCTAATAGAATCAGCATGTCATTCATGTTAAAAATTACCTTCAAGCTCTTTTTTATCAACATGTATGTCCAATGATTTAGCATAAGCAAAGAAACCCACCATCAGCTGGCATGGCATGGTATTTGGCCCAACTGAAAAAAAAAACATATGCAACATGAGAACATTGAGTGAAAACATACTAGTTTCAACTGATGACTTAAAATAGTTCTTCAAATATACAAGTACTTATGTAAGTCTTGACACGGTAACTACATGTCTACACACTTGAAATATCCCAGTATTAATGTATTGTCACAGGTTTCCATTGGAAAATAAACAGGCAATCAGAAGACTAGCTTACCAGGCCATGGTTGAGAACTGTGGTAAATGACTTGCCCAACTTCAATCCCAGTTTCTTCCCATGTTTCCCTTCTCACCGCCTCTTCCAAGCTTTCCCCTGGCTACAAACAGAACAGCTGCAGTGAGGATAAGCTTCTTCCAATGCATGGCTAGGACCGTGAACTTGTTAGCTAACCCTACACACTGAAAATTATACTGTGCTTGATAACCTTAGGATACAGTAAACCAAGAACAAGAATTTCTTTCAAAAGTCCTCAATTTATTCATTCATCCATTCTACTTATGCAAGCTACACCGAACTTTAGTGGTTACAAGCTTACAACAATGAGGCTATTACAACCTTACTGAATTCAAAGATAGCTTATGTGGCCCATGTTCAGATGATCAACTGAAAGCATTACTGTGTATTAAAAGAAACTGGATCCCTAAGTTCTTCATTGTCTACTAATAACGACTACTGGATGTCAAAACAGGCCAGAGAAAATTTTCCAAAATAATCATGCTTGGCACGATTCCGAGTGTCAATTTCCAAGTCACAAAGTCAGAATATAGTGTGTTGATGGGGTATTACTCTTATCCCTGTAACTGAGATTTACGTCGGGTATTTTAAATCAAATTCAAGTTCTTCTGCTTAGTAAGTGCTTCAGTTAACCCCTCTGTAAGCATGACTAACGTGACAATGCTAACTTTTTACAACATCTAAGCAGGATACAGGAACATGTTGTATAAGAAAGCTATTAGTTCACTGAACTTCTTATGTACTCCTATTAGTACTAACAGGGGGTGACAGGCTGACAGCAACTTTTTGTACCCCTATTAGTACACCAAGGTATTCTTAGCCTGCCCCTCCACATTCAACCCAAAAGCAGCTCATGAAAATTTAAGAGAACAAAGGATGCAAGTGCAACTAAGCACACATAACGATATGCATAAGAGAAGAAGTAACTCGCACCTCTATAAAACCAGCAAGACAACTCCACATCCGGGGCACAAATCTTGACTGCCGGCTTAAGAGAGCGCGGTCATTTTCTTTATCAATGACCAGCATAATCACAACCTGCAATCCACCAAAAAAGGCTTAAGGAGACAGTGGATACAAACCAGCACAAGCCACTGGCAGCTGGAAACACTAGGAGAGGCCAGTCAGTAACAGAGCACAGATCATACGGGGTCAACTCGAGGGTATATCCTCTTCTTGCAGGACTCGTTGCTGCACTGCTTCCGCGTCCCAGCTTCGGTAGGAACTGCCTTTGCCCCGCACGCTCCGCAGAATTTCGCCGTGTTGTGCCATTCTAGCAGCGCTCGAGCCTGCCCGCATCAGGAATCAAATCAAGCAAATCATTTGGCATTCCCGAATCACAGAGATGTTTTCAGTATCAGTGGGGAATTTACTTGAGAAAATGCTACTAGTTGGAAATAACCAAAAGTAGAAAATGGCACGCACGTGGCCGGCGATGGCGAGCTCCCCCATGGCGTCCTTGTCCCTCCAGTCGGCGGCCACCATGAGCGTCCGCAAGTCGACGAACGCCGACTCCTCCCCCGCGCCGCCGAACCTGGCGCCCTCCACCTCGCTGACGTCGACGGCCCAGTAGGCGGCGGCCTCCTCGCCGCCCCCCTCGCCGCCGTGGGATCCCAGGAACACGAAGACGTCCGAGGGGACGCCGGGGACGCGCGAGGGCGGGAGCCACGCGAGGCGCCAGGCCGGCGGGGGTGCGGGGGAGGGGGACGAGGACGAGGGAGCAGGAGGGTCCGGGGAGCGCGCGAGGGGGCGGCCGCGGCGGAACGGGAGGACCCTGGAGAGGTGGTGTCCGGCGGCTGCGTCGGCGCCGTCGAGGAGGGCGCGGAGGGCCTCGGCGGCCGCGGAGGGGGAGACGGCGCCGGAGGAGCGCGTGCCGGCGAGGCCGCGGAGCGGGTTGGCCGCGAAGGCGTGGGCGCGGAGGTGGATGGACATGGCGAGGGAGGCACGGCGGGTCGGCGGCAACCCGGGCTGGTTGGTGGCGCTCTGCCTCGCTTGTTTGGCTCGCCGGCGAAGGTTGTTGGGTTGGATTGGAGGTAGCTGGGAAAGAGGAGAGACATGTCTCCATGCCATGTGGGGCCACCTACCGACCGATACATCCACCCGGAGCATTTTCACACGTGGCCCTGCCCTTCAAATTTTCATTTCATATTTACTATGAACGAAAATCTAAGTTTGAAACGATGGCCCTTAGTCAAAGCGTGTTCTCGTACCAACCCGTCATCGTGTACCTCCCACGATGCGCAGGACACGTCGCCGGAGTAGCCTCGTTAGGAGCGTGATATGCAAGACATGCCGACAAGCTTTTTTGTAGACCCAAAACCTCACACGTTCGGTGAGGGACTTGCCAGGGAGTGCGGCGGTTATGGGGCTGTTATGGGTCGGTTCAACCGTCCCTAGAGCTTTGAGGATTTTTGCTCTTCAACACGAAGAAGGAGAAAGCAAAAATTAAAGAGAGATGTAAACTAAGAGTAAAAAGTAGTAGATTCGCTGTCATTTATGTGTTGTTGTGCAATCGACCCGCGTCTCTCATCTATATGTAAGACGGTTGGATTTTCTGTACAAGAAAATGACTCAAAGCTCATCTAAAATATTAAGTTCTAACCAATTCGGACACTGGTCGTCTGGAGGATCCGGAGTCGGGCTCTGGGCTATAAAAAGTATATACTAGCCTTTTGCGCCGATCGTGGAGATCATGCATGACTTCGGACTGAGATAACTCCGACAACACATTTCTTTTCGATGATCTGAGTAATTGTCATGTTCAAAACTTCTTCATCCGAGGTCATATTCAATGCGCAATCGAGCGGCCAAATCTATAAAAGATATTGAAAATCCCGTTTTGTGCCTGAAAGTTACAAACCTTTTGTCAAGGCCCGGAGGCTCCCAAAAGGTCCCCCGAGGGTCCGGAATGTCTAGCCAAGCCCGGAGGGTCCGAACTACTTTCTCTACAGCATATCGTTTTGGTTGTAACTTCTCCACACGACCTTGGATTGAGATGATTCAAAAAGCAAAAATCTTCGTAGACGAAGAATCTTCATGTGGAATACTTTTCCATCTGAAGCCATATTAATTACCTTTTTTTATGACAAAATATGGTGTCAACAAACCGTCTGATCATCCGAACGATGTTCTATGAGGAGAAATAGCGAGACGAGGAAGGAAAGAGAGTAATCGACCAGTGAGCATACTGACTATGATAATTAAGCACTCATGGAAGCCTTGATGCTCGTGGAGAGGAGGGGAGCGAGGTGGCAATGACGGATCACAGAAGAAAAGGGGGTGAGAGAGATGTGAGAGGTAGGAGGGGCGGACCGGAGACTCCTAAGGCTAAAGGGCAACTGATCACGACAGAAAACAAAGAGTAAATGTACACATTCAGAACTTGAAAATCTTGGACAAAGCAACCTAAACCATTGACTTTTTATGAAAGACTTTTTGAACATGGATTGGTTTGATAAAGGGGAAAACTTTGTTCTTTGCCACTCTAGTTTTTGCCAACTTTGCTTATGCCACTCTAGAATTTGACATTTCACTTTTGCCACTCTTAGCTTTTGACAATATATCACTTTTGCCATTCTGTGGCAAAAGCAAAAAATTTAGAGTGGCAATTGTGATACATGTCAAAAGCTAAGAGTGGCAAAAGTGAAATGAAAAATTATCATTTTTGCCACAGAATGACATTTGTGATGTATTGTCAAAAGCTAAGAGTGACAAAAGTGAGATGTCAAATTCTAGAGTGGCATAAGCAAAGTTGGCAAAAACTAGAGTGGCAAAAACAAAGTTTTCCCTTGATAAAGGCAATTTTTTCGGATATCAATTTTTGTCCACATAGTCACAAGAGTTACATAGGATGAGGTGAGATTTAATCTCGAAGTAGATCGAGGAACAAAGAAATAAAATAAATGTCCCTCTTGTTTTTTTTTGCGGGAAAAACTTTTGATCCATTCATCTTCAATCATGGTAATACAACGAACACCAGAAATACAAATTACATTCAGATTCATTGACCACCTAGCGACGACTACAAGCACTAGCGAGCCGAAGGCGCCGCCGTCATCGCCCCTCCATCGCCGGAGTCGGGCACAACTTCTTGGAGTAGACAGTCAAGAAGTCGTCGTGCTAAGGCCAATCCGCTGGAGACACACCTCCACACGCTCACCAACGATACTAGATGCACAGCCAGAACGGGGGCTAGGTGGGGAGACCTTTATTCCATCTTCAGGGAGCCGTCGTCGTCTCGTCTTCCTGAACAGGACACAAACCCTAACAAGATTAGATTGAAAAAATGATTAAAAACAGAGCCCTCCCGCCGGCCCTTGCCAGGATCCACTGCGTCTCCATGATCCTAGGGCCACCGGAGACGAGGCGGACCTGCGCCGGCGCCGGTGAGAGGCACGAACCCTAACTTTCTTTCTTAGAGGAGGAGGCGGCTGTTATGCTTGCACATGGTAAAAAAAATGCCCCTCTTGAATTCTAGAAAACATGAGGCTTGATGTAGAGGAAAGGAAAACTAATATGCAGCTTTTTTATGTCAATCCAGCTTTGTACTGGGAAAAAAAGCTGTATACATGGCTGCCCATATGTTTATATATAGTCTAGAAACACCTAAAAGTTGTCACGTCCAGGTTTTAGGAGTCATATAATAATCTGGAGCTGGGCATATGATCTTCCTTCCAAACTCTAGAAAGCTGGAGCAATTTGTGAATTTTGCACTGATCACCAATGGACATATCTTCCTGCCAGTATTTACAATGGACATGCTTGTATCCATTCTCTGCATGCATGGATTTTTTTTCCCCATGAATTTCCAAAACATAAAGATGTGATTTAGCAAAAAAAAAAAAAGAGAGAGACTGAGATCATCTGTGCCGGGCTTCGAAATTTTTCTTTTGGTTTTGGAAACAACATGATGGCAACGATACTTCAGGCAAGCAACAGAGGAAAGGAAACAGAAACACACGCGCATCAATAGTTACACAATACATTTAAGGATGGTTAAGAATATTTATTCAAGTAATCCAAACCATACAATATGAGCGACGCCTCAACCAACGTAAACGAGGCGTGACGAGACCATGCACGCGTTACATTCTGGAAGCTAAAGGAACTTCTCCTGCCCTCGCAACCATGCGACGGTTGTAGTAGTATAACAGGTGGCAATACATAAGCATATATACTACTGTGTAGTTTTATTTTTCCTGGATCGGAGCTTGCGAGTGTGACAATGGTTGGTCTCGTCCTAAGCCATCTCGTCACGCCTATCGATCTCGGTCGGCATGATTGGTCCTCACTTCCCGGTGCCTGCTTATTTTGGTACAACAGAACGATTCCAGTTTAGGGCACAGAGAATATATGTTGGATGAACGTTTGCAAATTGCAGTGCAAACAAATGGTCTCGGGGTTGCTTGATGAGACAGCTACAAGTAATTTTTACTACAACTAACTGTTGTCAAACAGTTTTTTGAGCTCTTTTGTATTGAGCTTTGCATGCAGATTTAAATCGAACATGCATGTATTTGATCAAAAAGTAGTTGTACATTAAGGCACCAAAAGAACATAAGTTGCAAATTGAAGACAATATACCTGCTTCCCTAGGTGCATTGCAATGATAGCACTCAATTCTGCTTGCAAAGTTGTGCACATTACAGCCAGGCCTGGATGAAATACACACAAATAGTTTTGTGTCAAAACATGATTCAAACTATTTCACAAGAGAATGTTATATAAGTGTTGTTATTTAGTTAACTTTCCTCTCAAAACATGTAGGCCTGCATGCTACTGTTTCTTGCCATGCAAAGATGTCAGGATAAAGGATACATACAGGTTGTAAGGATGACATCTATGTTTGAAGTGAAGCTATAGCTCACCTTGTGCATATCCAGTCACCAGTTTTCCACCCAGCACGAACTCCACCGCTCTCAGCAGCGCCAGTGCCACCCTGGCCTGCTGGGAAGTCCCTCACAATTGTGCCACACTTGAGGCAGCTGGAGCGGCTGGCGAAGTTGTGGTAGCCGCAATTGCAGTACCAGTCACCTGGGCGAACGTCCAGGGAGGTCAGCACACCACCTATACAGCGGCCGTCTCCGAGCTGCAGATCCGAGCGTGTGGCACGGCAGCGCTGACAGAAGTCACGGCGGCTGAAGTTGAGGTGCTGGCACGAGTTGCAGTTCCAGTCTCCAGGCTTCCTCTGGGTGTTCATTCGCAGTAAGCCCTGTATAAATGCATGCATGGATGTGTCAAGAAGTTAGTGACATAAAGGGAAGTTATACCTGAAGTACTACTAATTATTGTTAGCTCATTGCTCCACATATGTGTAGTATGAGCATAGAGATATTACAGAACCATAGTACTGTCGTAATTATATGTATGGGAATATGTCCTGGGCCAATGTGATTATGAGCTAGAAAACCAAGAATGAGAACACATGTACTTAAGATGCTCGTACTGCACATAGCCCATGTGAACACAAACTAAAAGGAGGAATATTGTACAGGCTAGACAAGGCAGGAGAGAAACAAAATCAGGGTCACCTTAACTAAATTAGGCTAAGTCGGTGCTCCATCTCTATCATTTGCACATGTAGATACATAAGATAAATTTTTAGATGGTATCCCAAAAGGTGGATACAAGGCAAGCAAAATGATATGCAAAGAGAGAACATGCTAATTAGCCAATAAAAATAACGAAAACAAAACTAGTCAATTTAATCTATAAAGAACCAACTGAATCTATTTAGATAGGATTTAAAATCTTATGCACATCACATGCATCACACTTACGCTTGCACAAATACTTTTTGAGCAACTATTAGTAGATTAAGAACAAGAATAAGAGTATATGGCCTTTTTCAAGAAGATTACATAGGCAGATGGTCCCGTTTGATAGAAGAGCCAGAAGAACAATAGAGGAACTTGGTCTTAAACAAATCGTCCAAAAGAACAAGAGAGGAACAGGAGGGGTCACATACCCTGTGAAAGCTTTTGGTTCAGTACTAGGGTTCTCAGTTGCTGTCTTGTCCTTGTTGTGTGCTTGCTTCCTTGCTCGCTGTGTTCTTACTTCTTGTGGATGGTTGCCTTTTTATAGTGGAGGCGCCTCAATAATTGCGAATCCAGTGGGGCTGTGGAGGCACGGAGATGCTCTGACCTAGCCTTTCTAACTGAGCTATCCAGATTGAAGAAGGGGGTGAATGGAGAAAAAAGGACGGGGCAGAACCAAGAAAGACCACAATGCAACAGGAAAGTGGTGCCAAAGATAGGAGAATTTCAGTTTTACATCCTGAGTCTACACCATGGTATATTACTTCTGAATATGTGGTAACTGATTCTTCCAAACATAAATGTAACTGCTGCTATAATTAACTACTCCAAAAATCAAATAGCTGTCTCAGTAACATAATTTGATTAAGGTAATTCAGGCAAATGTTTCGTGTATATACGCCAAATCAACTTTTCATTGGCATGGATACCTCACTGGTTTTATAATTATGATCTAAATTTCAAGCTAGGGCTACAGCTGTTCAGTTGTAAATGTGCAGGCAGGCAAATGTCAAGTAAGAATGGTGTCTACCGGGCATGCCAAGTATAAACCAGTCTTTCATGCATGTTGCTTAAAGAGTTACTTAAATACTACAAACACAGTTGATTAGTTAGACCATAAAAATAGCTCGAGACTGAATCAACACCATGGATATTACAGGTTTCAAGAGCAACAAATTCAGCACAATAAGATAGCCTGATCAATAACTTGTTTTCTGCTATATATTACTGGCCACCTTTTCTCTCTTTTTTCAGAGAAATTGTTAGTTTAAGGTCTTTTAATTTATCCATGGACAAAGGTGTGAGGAATTAGGATCAAAGGATATATTCTTTAGATTTTGATTCTTCCACAATATGTACCTGGGGAGGTGCAGATCTAGCAGTTATGCACACTTCGTGTGGCTAATAGAAATCCTAGTGCCCCCACCTTAGACCAAAGTGCCACATTACTTGAGTAACTGTAAGAACGAAAAAGAAAGGCAGATAGGCCAGCTATTACAACTAAAGTGTGGAAAATATAAGTTCATAAACGAATTTGAATAAATTCAACTGTATAGAAAATGTAAATATAGTTCTGATAGTAGAAATGCTGGATAACATCTAAGCTTAAATGAATTGTTTAAATTAGCCTTTCTCATATGTATTCCCCTTATTATACATACGGGCTCAATGCAAAGCTTGTAAGTGTTGTATCCATGGAATCATACTATTACATGTGTTTAAATCCATTACCGAGTAAATGTGCTCTAGATCCATTACAGAGTAAATGTGCTTCTAGCTTCTTTACCGGCTTCCTGTATGGGCATCCCTGATTAAGCATGCAGCTGTGTATAATAATATATTTGCCTGCGAGAAAAGTACAATACACTGGATATTTGTCATCCTCTGTTCTATAGTGCACAATGGTAGGCAGAAAAATAACTGGAAAGGCCAAAATAGATGCATGTAACTTTTAAGAAAATGGTCTACAAGATTCATGGTGACAAAATTAACAGTTCAATGAAGATACTAGTGGCTCAGGACTTGGTAGGCTTATTATTTCAAGCAAAAACAGTGAACAAGAAAAGGAAAAAGTTTCTTGGCTCTATGGAGCCATAACTCAAAACTCAATCACCCTTGGATGCTTCTCCAGGGTTTGTATCACTGCCCATTACAAAATTGCTTGGCGAAGATGGAGTACTAATCACAACACTCTTCCTACAAACTCCCTTTAATATCTCTCTACAGCATCAACACACAAAAATATTGTTGGAAAGGCACGATAAACAAAGGAAAGCATGATTGAAAACCTTATTACACAAATAAAAATTAAGAAAGTAGCAGACATTCCTATGTGGACCAATCTGCATCAAACAACGCTAGAGGGTGGAGCCATGGCTGCATGGAGCTGAAACTCCAGACTTGAAAAGAAAATAGGTAAAGCTAATTCTCTTCAGTTAACATTTTACCTTTTACTAATTTAATTTAATAAAGAGTTTGCATGTCTTGTCCATTCTAGATGTTGTGCAACCTCCCAAAGATAGTACTAAAGTTGGAAGTGGCATTATATGCCAGGGGCAGATTGTATTATTGGGGTTAAATATATATAGCCACTTCAGAATCAATTCTCTGCATACGTGCATGACCTACAGACGTTCACAAAACCTATTCTGATCAACATATATTCTCCCAAATCACACCTTTACGCAATAATTCAAGAGGTTCCATGTTCACTTGTAGTCAGCTGTCCGTACTGTTTTATTTGCATGAAAAGGATCTGTCAGGACTACCCTAAGTATGTCTGTTCCTTTCCCTCTGTTGTCATCAGGAACTCAAACGTGAGTAGAAGGAACATGAATAACCCTGTTGCTCAGAAACCAAGTAAGACCCACAGAGAAATATATAATATACATGACAGAAGCTTGGTGATAAGAATATGATTTCCATATATCAAAAGAAAAGGTATGTTTTTCACCAAGGCACACTGTATTTACAGAATTCCTAAAACTGGACAAGTCTAGTTTACTAACAAGTTCATATGGGGTTTTCCCAATCTAATCTAGAATAAACGTAGTTTGATGAAATTTAACATATTTATTTATGCGGCAAATTATGGAAATCGATCTGTTGTAGATCATTGGATCAAATGTTCCCACTAGCCAGATTGACCACCATAAAAAAAATTAATCAAGTGTGGACACATCAATAAAGTGTTCCTTTTCAACAGAGAATGGTCAGTTACCATCTACCATACAGCTTTGGTTTTGTGACCTGGATGCTTTAGCGTCTATAAACGGCAGAGCAAGAGCAGGGTTCAGTTGATGCTTCTCGCGCTGCTGGTTTGCAGAGGAATCGATTCCACACGGAAGTGCGAAGGTAAAGACGTTATCGGTTGCAAATACTGTTTCCACTAAACCATGTTCGTTGTCGATACATCCATGGGATGTCGACCGGCAAAGCAAATCAAAGACCAACTGGTGAAAATCTAATCTACTAAATCTCTCCTATGAATGGGTACTGATCTGGTGAAGGTGAAGTTCAGTCCATACTGCAACTACAATGGTACTCTGCTTTCTCAAAAAGGCAAAGGATTCTAAGCTTACAATTCCAATTCAATTATGATTTGAAAAGATTGTTCCCGGTGTCCCCAAAGAATATTATTCTTTGTTCCCTCAGAGGAAGCTCATGTGCAAAGCACGCGCTACGGCATATACAGATTTTCATCCCATGCAGCGGAAACTCCGCGTAGCAAGCAGTGCTTTGACAGCTGCGGATACTATCCGGTGATAAAAGAAAAATCCGGTACTGCACAAGACAATATACCTGGGACTATTGGGGGTTTGCTTAGGAAAAAAATGGTTTTATTTGAGACGACAAGGACATTTTATCAAGCTCCAGGTTCTAGACATGCAGAGCACTATTGGTGCCCCTTTATTCCCTCTTCTCAATCTGAATTCGTTTTATTCCACCCAAAACATTCCATCGCCCCTTATCACTTGCTCTAAATTTTTTTAAAGCGTAGCATTCACCTTTGATCCCCATCTTGATCTTCCTGCTGAAGTCTAAAAAGGATAACGGCATCTCACATTTTTATACTGACGATGGCTGTGGTAAAAAGAGGCTTTGGTCGGGCGGGCGGTACCTGGAGCAGATCTGCCCGAAGCTTTTCTTTTTGGGCGCGCTACCCGGGCGCCAGGGGGAGGCTCGGGCTCAGGCAGGCTCGGCTCCTCGCTTCGCCTTCTTCTCCCGCCTCGGCGGCGTGCGCGCCGGCCGCTGACGGCGGGCGCCTCTTAGATCCGGTCGCCGTCGATTGGGCCCACGGAGCCGGCATCCGAGCGGCTCAAGCCAACCCCACCCGCGACCACGTCGGCGCTGCTTCTCCTGCGTCGTCCTCATCGCTTCCGCACCCTGCTGCCGACGGCCGGAGCCGCCGCCGACCGCCACGCGTCGTTGTCGCACGGCACTGACCACTGAGATGGCTTAGTTTTATTTTTTCTTTCGATGAGGAACACTGAGATGGCTTAGTTGGGCTGGACAGTGCTGAAGGTCCCCCGCTCGGTATAGTAATGGGTAGGCCCATGAGTTCGATCGCTCGTGGTTTTTCTCGGCCGGTTCTTCGCTTCGGTTTTTGCTTCTTCTTTTTTTCGTTTTCATTGGTTTTTTCTTTGATTTTCTTTATTTCTTCATCGGTTTTCTTCGATTTTTATTCTTCTAT